TAAGTCCAAGGTCTTCAAGAACGGATGTGAGTCGAAGTCCAAGGTCTTCAAGAACGGATGTGAGTCGAAGTCCAAGGTCTTCAAGAATGGATGTGAGTCGAAGTCCAAGGTCTTCAAGAATGGATGTGAGTCGAAGTCCAAGGCCTTCAAGAATGTCGACATTTCATTGCATTCCTATACTGTCTCACTTTACCACAGTGAAAGGAATAAAGGATATTTGCCTGTCTTCAGTGCATACCCAAATTGAGATGTGACCTAGGCCATTTGGCAACAGCCTACCTTTGTGAACTAATTCATGCCAAAACTAATGTATGCTCCTTACGATCAACCTTCTCAGGTGTGGTCTGCTTACAACAGCCACTCAGTAAAACAAAATATTACGGCGACTGATCTTTTTCAGTGGATGCCTCTCGTGTATGGAATGCCCTTCCAAAGGCAGTTTGATCCGCTGGGAGTTTAAATTGTTTTAAAAGCAGCTTAAAAACTCACCTCTTCCAGAATTACTTTTCAGCAATATAGTCCAATTTTGCTATTAGGAAGTCTTTTTATTTTATTTGGTTGTAATTGTGCAGTTCGAAAGTCTTGAATTTCTTATGTAGCAGCTTGTAGCCTGTTTATGATGTTGTAATTGTCATTCTTTTAAATTTGTTTTAATGGTATTTAGTTTACAACGCTTTGTGATGTCGTTGACATGGAAAACGTTTTTTAAGTAAATTCCTATTATTATTATTTGGGAGCAGCAATACGCATGCATAGTCAGCCCTATCAGCGCAGCCACGTGCCAACTCACATTGCCATTTGATATACCTAACGAACTCCCCGTCGACAATCCTCCTTGTACTAGAAATTTTGTATTTAGACTTTATGGAAACTTTGACCCCCAGCATAATAACAGTGGTTCAACTCTACCAATCTCCATCCTGTAAAATCCTCAGAAAACCTCTTGCTGGATTGCAAAGGATCTGGGACGTTAAGGCGGTCATCACTGAGGCCATGGAGATGCAACTTAGACTTACACATTGCAACTTCAATGATGAAGTCGCCCTCAAGTGGTCTACGTCGGCGGTGGGTGCTGGTGTTGGATAGCCGACCAATTCCGATAGTCTGGGTACCGACCTTTGGAAAAGAGCACACAAAATAAAGGAATTGGCCATTGTTTTTTTAACCATTTGCTGCCGAGTGGATTTTTCTTGAGCAAGACAAGATGCCGGGTCCTTTTTAAGATTTTCCGTTTTCAAAATTCTTCAAAAATTCATCATTTCATTTAATGACCATTTATACCCAGATAAAGGACTCTTTGGGCACTACTCTAAAGCTGACAGGTAAATTCATTGACTCCTGAATATTTCAGCCAGGCCTGCAGCCTTGGAAAAAGAGCCCAGATTGTGCGGTGTTACGTAAGATTCTTTTGTTCCCGAAACCAGCACATTGCACTGCTGACCTCTTTTCAATACGGGCCAGATTAGAATGCAGCAGTGCTGTATGGCTCATCGCTGTGGTGGTGGAGAGTTTTGTCCCCGGTGGTAATCCGCTCGCTCCAAATGCCTCAAACCATGGTATACTGTTTCAAAACAAGGCTGGATTATCTCCACTATTGAGGGCGAAAAAATGCTGGTAATGCCCAGCAGCTCAGTCTTTTGTGCCGAGCACAGTCTTTTGCTATAAAGCCCAACTCTTTTGTCCCAGTTCCGAGCTCCCCGCCTCTGTATATAAAGCCTGTGTACTCAAAAACGGGTCGCCTGGCAGGAAGTGGTTAAAATACGATTTGAGATTCATTTCAATCTAATAGATAGATAGGCCATTTTCCAAAGTACAGATTTAGTTCAGGTTCCAGCTTCCAGATTCATTTCAGACCTTGATGAATTGATGGGCTAATTTTCACAATATGGATTCAGCTTTCTTTTTTGGCTTTTGTAATCACAGCAGCTACAGAAAGCCCTGGCTTGTTCTCAAAGAGTTCAGAGATTGGTGCCAAGACGAACCTGCAGTGCTCCCCTTTAAACTTACCAACCATCCAGGTCTCTCCGTCAGCATCTTGTGTCGGTCAGTAGAGATGCGGTTCCGGGACCACTTGCTTGGTTCCTTCAGCCACGGGTGCTCCAAAGCCTCATAGGCAGGCATCCGCTGCCTAAAGTAAAGACAAACATGGCAAAATGAGCAAACAAGTGACTTCTGACCAAAGGGGATGCCTAAGGCTTGTGACTCCTGATCAAAGAAGGGAAGGTTTGAAGCCACGAGCCAGTTATATATTGTGCCCTGACGCAAGCCATTTTACGGCAGTTCTGAATATAAATGGGTTTCTAGTGACAAATTGACGCAACTACATGCAACATGTCATTTACCTTGTTGCCCCAAACAATGACTTTCAGAAAAATGAAGAAGTGGGTCTAGATGGGGTATGAAAAAAAATTAATTATTTGGTAGCAGAAGAAATTTATTTTTAAAAGTTTGATGTAATTAAGCTTTACATAACTAAACAGTTCCAAAGACATTCTGTCGCAATCAATTCCTTCTTTAAAAATTAAATTTGAGGAAAACGGGTGTGACTCACTCTGTGTCAAGTATGAGCAGCTTGCTGATGAAATCCTTGGCTTCATCCGAGATGCCGCGGAACGCCCCTTGGTCAAACTCCCAACGTCCCCGTCGGATCTTGTCTGGGTCGTGGTTGAATGGGTGTATACCGCTAAGTCTGGGAGCCAAAAAAATACACAATCGATCAGGAACTTAGGAAAGTGCCAAATCTGTAAGAAAAGTTAACTTCCACAAAACGTTTCGGGGGCCTTAATTGGAAGGATGAGTCAAGAATTATTGCGTGCTCTCCTGCATAGGGTGCTGTCTTAAGGATGCCAACAGGGATTCACAAATACCTGAGACAGTTTTTCTATTCCTATTGGTCGAACATTTGATAATGCCTGCTCGAAAAGTTGGTAATGCCCGCTGCGTAAATCCCGTGCTGGCACATGGATACGAGACAGTTTAATCGGGTCTGATTGGTCAGGAGTCTGTGTGTACACGACACGCCACGCACATGCCAAGTTCATTGAAGGGAATCTATGGGACAACTTTCAAATGGAATATACCATAAAACAGATGGGGGTGTTCGGGAAAATGAAAGTGAAGTTTTAGAACAAAATTGTTAGAAATCCATCATTTTGACTTCTTTTGACTCTCTGAATATTGAAAAAGGTATTCGTGAATGGGAATAAATATGTGCTTAGTCAGTCTTAAACTAATGTTTAAGACCTTGCCCAGGGGAACAAATGCTGATAATGCCCTAGCTTTGGCTCAGACATTAATCACGTCCGTTCTCTTGAGCTGGTCTTAAATGCATGTTCAAGACTGGTCAAGCACACATTTATCTCCCTTACTAACATAATGCATTATTTTAGCAACAGCCACGTTATAAGTTCAGGTAAATTTTAATCAAATCAACTTTTTTGGAGTGATTTCTGTAGGCTGTTGCAAACATTTGCAGAATGGATGACTTTGCTCAACACGTTGACTGAGCAATCCCTGGCCACAATGCACACTTAGATTAATGGCTTCTGGTTTTTGCACTCCATGAGTGAATTCACAAATAGCTTGAAACCCCCACCAACACTAGGTTTGATAGCTCAGTAGGTAGGGTAGTGGCACAGTGTTCCAAACGGTAGCAGGTTGAAATTGTACTCTACTACAATTTCCCGGCTCTGCATGGTACTGGTTTTGAACCCTTCTAGTTTCGTATCAAAATTAACTTGAAATGTCGGAGGACAGAATATAACCAGGGAGATACCTTCTCGTTTGTGGCACGATGCTCAAGCACATGTTAAGCACATTCATACATAGGGCATACATGCAATTTAGCATGTCGCAACTCCCTATGGGTCTGAGACAACCTATGCACAAGTGTGGTATTGTGGCAGTGACAGGATCTCAGTCTAGCCGTTAGTCTATATTCAAGCTGACAATGACAGCTAGCACTATAAGGACCATTAGGCTCAGTCCACTCACAGCATGTAGACAATAACTCCCACTGTCCACATATCTGTGGAGAAGCCCACCGGGTTGCCGTTGATCAGCTCAGGTGACGAGTACTCCGATGACCCTGAGACAACCTTGACCCTCTCCTCGGGGTCCAGCTTGGTGGCCATGCCCAGGTCAATGATGCGGATGTTGTTGCTCTTCTTGGTCTCGTACAGGATGCTCTGGGGCTGTGGGAAGTGTAAAACACAAGACCAAAAGTATTTGGGGAGATGACTTTGGTGGTTGAAATAAGGCTGGAGCATCATCCTTGGGACTAAACCTGATGAGGTCTCAATCTGCAATGGGGGGCCTACCTCAAGGTCTCAATCTTTTACCAACATTAAAGTCTCATTTTCAGGTCTAACCTTTTGGAATGTCATTCAGTGGCCTACCTTGAGGTGTTAACCTTGGACTTCCATAAACGTATCATTCTGGGACCTATTCATGGATCTCATTCTGGTGTCTAAATTAACCGCTTCCTGCCGGGGACTCCGGATCCGGACACGTATGCTTTATAAGCGTGGCCAGGGTCTCCGAACTTGGACAAAAGGAACAGGGCCTGGTAAGGAAAGACCGTACTCAGAACAAAAGACCAGGCTGATGGGCATTACCAACATTTTTTCACTCTCAAAAGTGGAGATAATTCTGCCTTGTTTTGAAACAGTATACCATACCTGGCTGAAATACTCAGGGGTCAATAGATTTTGTCTGGCTGGCTGGAGTGGACACCAGAAATGCCTTTATGCGCTTGTAAGTGTCCAGTAAATGAAGATATGAATTTGTAAAGAATTTTGAAAACAGAAAAAATGATAAATATCCTGCCCCAGCATCATCAACATTGATAAATGCCCTGACAGGAAGTGGTTAAGGTCTTAGTCTTGGACCTGGAGCTCATTCCAGTGCATACCCTCAGGCTTCATTCTGGGCCAACTTTGAGACCTCATTTTGAGGCTTACCTTGAGGTCTCATTCTGTACCTACCTTGGGGTTTCAGCTTGTGACCTTCTCTAAGGTCTCATTCAGGGGCCTACCCTGAGACCACATTTTAGGACCCACCTTAAGGTCTCACTCTATGACCTACACTGTGGTGTCAGTATAGGGCCTACCTTGAGGTCCAAGTGCATGTAGTTCCTGAGGTGCTTCAGGTCTCAATTTGTAACCAACACTGTGGTCTCAGTCTAGGGTCTACCTTCAGGTCTCACTCTGTGACCTACATTGTGATTTCAGTCTAGGGCCTACCTTGAGGTCCAGGTGCATGTAGTTCCTGAGGTGTAGGTAATTGAGTCCTTCGCAGACCTGTCTGGTCAGACGGGCAACCTCCTCTTCGGTCAGATGCTCCCAGTCCTTGAAGCGGTCAAAGGGATCACCTCCACTCAAACTGCAGCCAGAGGAAAAAAACTTCGTCAGACGGAGAAGGTTGTAAGTGACCAGCTTTAATACAGTCAAACCCTTGGTGAAAGACTCCAAAACAGATTCACTCTTCTTTGACCAACAAGGGCACAATATTACGTCAGCATGCAAATTTGTTAAGCACAGAAAATATTTGTTTCACAAAAACAAGTTACCAGCCAAATTGCCATGTAAATTACCAGCAACTTGTTCTCTTTTTTTTAAGCTTAGCATGTGAAATTGCTAAACAATACTTTTGGATTCTCTAACTCTGTGAAACAATAGGCCCAGATCCTTTACAGAAAAGCTAAAAATTTGGATGAAATTTGATAAAGCTACGTTTAGTGTGACACCTTTTTCAAAAATCTCCAAACTTTTCGTGGTTTACAGAGTGTGATGTCAATAGTGTACTGGGTTGAGTATTCCACTTACAAGTCCAGGATCATGACCATCTGGTCATCTGTCTCATAGGCATCGTGCAGTTGCAGCAGTCGCGGGTGTTGCAGGGCACTCATGGTGTTCATCTCTTGCTTGATGTGAGCCTTGTCAGCCGGCTCCGTTGAGACAAACTTGGCAGCGTAGTTGCGGCCAGTGGGCTTCTCCACAGCTCGGCGGACCACACCGTATTCACCACTATGATAATAATAAAATTAATAAAACATAAATAAAGCCGTAAATAGTAATATATTGACTGGTCAATATATGTCCAGTCAATGTATGACCAATCAATATTGACCAGTCAATATATGAGATATGATAATCCCCAGACAAAATAGAAATGCAAAATATCTATACTTCTATGTTAGTTTTCAAATCTTTTTGCAATATCCATTCACCATTGCAAAGTGCAGGGGAATTCCATTCATTATAAAGAAAAAGCACCGAGGCCCAAAAAAACTGACCAGGAGTTTTCTGCTGTAAAAAACCTCACCTTCCAAGCTCTTCCCCAAACTCATAGCGGTCGCTAGGTGACGTCTTACGCAATTTGACTTTCTTCGGTGAAAAACCTTCCTCAACTAGAGAAAAGAAAAATAGTTATTGAAATTAGCATTTCAGGTTTTTGCAATAATGCCTTTTTTGGAGTGGAGAGAACATCCTTTCACGGTGGAGAAGACACTGAACCTGGCTTATCTCCAATATCATTCCCACACAGTTTAACACATTTTGCAGCACAACATTTAAATTAAGACGAGGGTGACTTGAGATTTTCACAAATTGATCATTGTGGAACTTACCAATCATATCATAATCATGGACTCTAGGAAGTCTTGGTCTTTCAGGGCGGGCAACTGGTTGACAAAAGCAAAGATGAATGAAACAACAAAATGAACACAATTTCATTTGGAAGAGACACCAACAATTGCGCAGTCTGTCTGCAGTCATGCAATTAGGATGAATTCTATTGCATCCTTACTCAAGGACCCATGTAATGATGTCCTTCACTATGCATCCATAACGCAACTTCAAGCTTAACTGAAAAAGTGGTTTGAAGGTACACTTCCTAAATTTACCAAAGGCATGAACCCCTTTGTTAGCATGGACGTCTTTCAAGATTTGCCAAACTGGAAACACAACCACTGATTTTCAAGACAGTTCAAACATATGCATTTTGAGAATTCAAATCAAAACTTTCTTCACAAAATGAAAATTGGACAAAAATCTCACCTGATTCCTCCGTTGCCATGGAAGCCCTTCGGATAGGCTTCTCTGGTTCTTAAGGAAAAGCAAGCACAACAAAGGAATTTGTCAGTCCATAATACACATCCACTTTTCTTCCTGAGAACAACAATCAAAGAATTTCTGCCATTTGCCAAACAATTTTCTTTTCCTGTTTTATATATATATAAATATCAGGCAAGCACCATGAATGTCCTATAGAAAATCTGGAATCGCAATGCCCTCGATCAAGCACACAGAGCTCACCAAAGCCCCCAGGGGCAATGTTATTATGTAACTTTGATGCTAATACAAAGAACTCCTTGCCACCAATTCATTTGTGGCAACAATAGTTGCAATGGCACGTGAGCCAACTATCACCTTTATATTTGGCATGATAAGATGGCTGCTTCACTCAATACTACAGCACTGGGAGTCCAGACTTTTTAGTATGATGTCCATGGTGAACGCCTCCTCAAAAGAACTTTTGGCCTCTACAGTTTAACAATAGCTTGGAAGCACCAAAGTTGGTATTGCGCTCGTACCAGGTATAGCAATCTTGTGCGTGACCTCGGCCGGTTTGCTGGAGCCGGTGATATTCTCGGCCCGCACACGGAATCGGTACTCCCGGTTGGGTGTCAGCATGGACAACACGTGGTTGGTCTGGCCTGAGGTGTAGCCGGCCCGGCTCCATGACTCCAGGCCAAACTCCCGCTTCTCCAACACATAGGCATCAATGTGGCTACCCCCATCGTCAGCCGGAGGCTGCCAGCTCAGCTCAACACTCTCGTAGGTTACATCCTTGGCCTGGAGATCGATGGGTTCTCCAGGAACATCTGAGGCACCGAAGAATTAGAAAACTAACCATTTGCAGACAGAATTAGTTTGCAACAAACCAGAACCCAAACATGGTATTATTTCAAGTGGGAAATCCAGGCTTTTAAAAACAACCAGAGCTACTTTTCATAGTCAAGAGTCAAAATGTTTTAATGTTTAAATTTTAATTTATGTAAAGTAATGAGAGTAAAAGAAACAAAGCTGCTGAAAATGTTCTTCTTTTTTTCACGTTATGTACTATCTTGTGGTTTTTATACCTGTTGTGAAGATAGCCCTATGTGTAGTGATTTATTTTGCTTTTCAGTAATCTGCGGACCTGTCTTTATTTCTGTTTTGACACTTCCTTAATTTCTGAACAATAAATACATGTAAGAGGGTTACCACAAATGTTGACCCTTGAGAGCTACTTGTACAAGATCTGTTACATTTCTTACTGTACTTTTATTTTTGCTACACTCTAAGGCCCTGCAATGGAGCAATATTTGCTTTGGCCATGTACAGAGGCCAAGTTGTAGACACAGTCATCTCCATGGATATGTGTGTGTATGTGAGTGTGTAAACGCCTTCAATCGTGGACCTATAACAATAGGGGACAATAGGGTCCACGGTTGCTGAAGAGTCCACGGTTGGAAAATGTGTACAAAACATATGGGAGGTCTTCCGAAAAAGTATGAACAAAAGAGGAACAATAGGGAGTCCACGATTGAAGACATTTACACACTTGGGTGTGTGTGCGCAAAATGAACAAGAAACCACACGGCCTAACCCATCATCTGCCCCTGTGAATACACAAAGCCAGAACATGTTGACAAGCTCTCTGTGAAACTGTCACAGAAAGTTGTTGGCAGTTTTCAAGTCTGACATGATGTGGTCAAGAAGAGTAGAAAATAGAATGATGATACAATTTTGCCACCAGGACGAAAAGAGGTTGCTCAAGCATGACTGCATCACATCATCGGTTGCTCCACGAAGTGATGTATACAATAGTTTTAATGCACCAGAAAGTGACGTACGGTCCATAGACATTAAATACATGATACATCAGTTTGTGTTGCAACCAATGACATATACACATTCAAAAGCAGAGATCTGGTAACTAACAGTGGAACCTTGGCTTGTTTTCAGAAGTGGAAATTGAGAAAAGGTCCATGCTTGACATCTTGCTCAAACTGGCACTACGCCGCATTCTTACCATTGACGTTGACATGGATAAAGGCAGAGTCACTCCCGACCTCGTTCTCGGCCGTCAGTTCATACTCCCCGCTGTCCTTGCGCTCGGCGTTAGCTATGGTCAGCACAGCGTGACGGTCTGTGTCCTCCACACCACGGCTGATCCGCCGGCCATCCAGCGTCCAGCTGGAGGTGGGCTTGGGGTAGCCCGTGACGGGGATCTTGAGCTTGATGGTCTCACCCTTGATGAAGCTGGCTGCCGTGTCGCGGAAGCGGGCTGGGAGCTTGATCTTCGGTGCAACTGCAAGAGAGATGCGATAAATTGAGTTGAGTCCATCACAAGTCCTGGAAAGTCCACCACTGGGCCTTCCGTGTGAATCCAAGTCACAAGCTATTCAAAAGATCTGCAACAATAACATCCTTTTGTCATTGCTAACGATAATATTCATTGATCTTTGAAAAGTTCTTATGACTTGTAAAGAAACTTCTGATGCACTCGACTACAGGAAGTTTGTCCACAATACCATGACTTTTCAATGTCAATAATCTGTCAAATGTCTCCTTTTATAATGATCAACTTCAGCAAGAATGAAAATGAGACACAACTTGCTAGAACTGCTTTTGAGTTTAAGGCTGTTTCAACTTGGCACCTGGTGTGCATAGAAAGACCATACTTTTGACAAAAATAGGTCGGGCATGCTCAGCGTGGCCAAAGCCATGTGAGCGTGACATCTGTGCGCACAGCCATTGAATTCCAACCAAAGGGATGCCACTGCTACAAAAACAAATGAAACCTCTCGGAACTCGCACCGAGTGGATTATCACCAGTTTTATGGTTCTTACATTTGACGAGAAGCTGCGCACGGGTCACCTTCCGTCCCCCGGGGTTCCTAATCTCACAGGAGTACTCATCCACGTCATCGGGCTGGATGTTGCTGATTGTGAGCATCGCAGCATTACCGTCCACCTCTGGTTGGTACTTGTTGTTGGTGAACAGTTCACGTGACCCCTTGAACCTGTCACATGAAGTATAATCAAAGTCATTAATTGACAAAACTTTCCTCAATCTGATAATTTCTTTCAACAGACAAAAAACTTTCACTGAAACTGAAAATGATCATTTACTTAAGAGGCCGGTTTCTCAGATTGAAAACCAACTCAAGCTTCACAGATAGATGTATTGGAACAGGGTATATTAAACCCAGAGGTTTGAAATCCCCCAACAGAGAGTTTATTAAACCCAGAGGTTTTAAATCCCCCAATGTGGGGTTTATTAAACGTAGGGGTTCAAAATCCCCCATCGACTGTTTAGCATGGATAAAACAAAGGGACAAAACAACAAGAAATATTGGTTAAACTCTGCTCTTATTCACCACCCACTCCCCAGGCCAAACTTGGAACAGCCCTAAAGTGTATTTTTCGAAGTCCACAAAACTATTTTTCCCCAAAGTGTTTTCCATGATCTCCATGCTCAGCAACCCTGGTCCAGTGTTCATTCCACAACAGGTTGAATGTTTCCTTTTATAAACACCTCTTGCCGATTCTTTGTCCTGATTGGCTGCAATACGGTTAGGTGTAGTTCACTGATATAAGCCAGTAAATGAACTTCACGTCAGCACCAAATGGACATGCACCACTACATCGCACACACATAAGTGGCAGAAACTAGTGCCTGGTCAGGCACTAGTATTCAAAAATATTGACGGATTACAGCACCCTCACATGAAGGGAACAGTTAACAGCAACTCAAAGAAGGGAAAATGAAAGCGCTCCTTTAATCATTGACTGCTTGTTAGTTGTATGGTTGAATTCAAACATTTCGGTTACAAAATTCGCAGCAGTTTCTTATTTCACATTTTAGACAGAGGTGTATTTATTATAAAATACATAATAATAATAGCATAATGGACTGATGTGATTTAGTCACTAGCGCATATCCTTGCCCCCCTTAGGCTTGCAATGGGAAATAGGACTCTCTTCAGGTCACTCTAAGTCCCTTTGGGCTCAGACGTACATTAGTGCCCTCATTGCCAGTTCATATGTGTACACTATAACGATGGAAGACAGCGGACCTGGGGGGTGGGGAAGGGGGAGGGGAGGGGAGGCAATCTCACCATTTGACTTCTGGGTGCGGTTTGCCACTGAACTGGCACTCAAATGTGGCTGTTCTGCCCTCGTGGGCTGTGGTGTCCCTCAGGCCTTCCTCAAACTTAGGTCTGATTACCTCTGGAAAAGTTAACGGCCACAAAACGGAAATGCTTCAAACCCAGTCCTAAAAATTCTGAACTGCGTAATCGCTTACAGACATTTAGAGACATCTTCACTTATTTGTCACTGGTTCTCATGTAATTTTCTAAAATAATAAAGGTCGACTCCCAGTATTGCAAACATTTTCACTGGGTCCCATGGATTTCAGTATGAGAGTCAACTGTACTTGTAGTTTGGGGTACCAAAACAACACTGCTATGGTACTGTTGATGTTTTGAATATACTTAAAAATGTTGGGCTAAAATTTGAAATGGATGGGCTTCAATGTTTTGAGGTAGAAGCATTTCTGCCAACTCTTGTTCAGAAAATAGGTAAAAGTGCCAGTTATTTTTATTTAAAGTAGATGTGTCCAATGGCCTTTCACTCAGTGATATGGGCAGGTATAAAATCATGCAAAACAGTAAGCCATAACTTTGTTTTCAGTCACACGCATAAGTTTGGCTCGTATTAGCATTTGGAAATTTGGTGCCTTGTGATTCAAGACTCAATTTTGTAAGTACCCGGCATGTGAGTCTACAGTTGGCACAAAGCATCCACCATTATTTGAGGATTACTGAGTAATCCTTGCCAACATTTGGTAGTGGGTTTACGGCCCCTGTACATATATATCACTGAACTGACCATTAGGGTCCTTGACCAGCACTGAGTGGCTGCCGACGGCCGGCTCGCTGACCAGTCCAGCCTCATTGACAGCCGTCACCCGGAAATCGTACTCCCGATCCTCAATGAGGTTGGGGATGGTCATGGTCAGGTGGGCGACGGGACCACGGTTGACTTGCACCTGGAGATGACAAGCCAGATTCTTCAATGAAAACAGCCAGTGGTCATTTCACAACGCAGACTGCATAGTACCAAGCCATGCATGGTCACAGATAATATGAAAACTAAGCAATTTAAACAATGATCATCATGAGCACTAATGTTGCTCTTTTACAAAATGTCACAGAATTTCCATTATTATTACTCCTGCTCATCATGCCCATACGGCTATGTTTAGACCATCTTGGCTCATTGAGGAGTATGCTGTAATATATATTGCTATTTAACCCCTTCGCTACGGAGGACTGCTACTACCACACCGTTGTGTGAGGATTAGTACATACCACACATACAGGCTATTCACCATGCAGCTGCTGGTTCAATGGGGCCTGCTGCTGGACAATGCCCTCCATTCAGGGCATACCAAAGCCCAGCAGTCGCGGTCAAAAAATCCCACCATGAAGGGGGTTAAAGGTATGAACTACTCAATAAAATCATGAGAACCATCTCGAAACTCATGGGTACCCACTAACTAAACACTCCTTAACCACTTTGTGAAGGGGTGCCCAGAACCGAAGACATTGGCTTTATACGCAAAGCCGGGATACCCAAAATCGGACAAAAGAGTTTGGCCGTGTAACACATGACTGTACTCGGAACAAACGACATGGCTGCTGGGAATTGTCAACATTTTTCAGTTGTCAATAGCGGAAGAAATCTGTCAATGTTTGAATGATTATACCACTGTTTGTGGCATTCTGTGCGACCAGATTACCACCAGGGACAAAAGCGCTCCAGCACTTCAGGGATGACCATTAAAATACTGTTGCATGCTAATCTGGTCCGCATTTGAAAAGATGCCAGCAGCGCACTGGGACAGTTTCAGGAAAAAAAGAAAATTACATAACACCGCACAATCTGGGCTCTCTTTACAAGGCAGCAGGCCTGGCTGAAATACTTTGGCATCAAAAGATGTTGTCTGTCAGATTAGAGTAGCCACCAGACAGTCACTTGTGTGGGTGTAAACATCCAGTAAATTAAGTTTACACAATGAATTTTGGAAGAATTTTGAAAATGGAAAATCTAAAAATCCCCCAGGAATACGTCATGCAATTTCAAATTAAACTCGGCAGCATATGGCTAATTTCACAGGATAGGCCTGGGCTCATCATGTGCAAAGCTACCCAACCAATCTTGGTTCTGGGCAGCAGGCTATGAGATCGCAGCAGCAGCAATCCACCTAACTGGTGTGGTAGTGAAAAGCTTAACCTGAGATACCACTGTGTCTGGGCACTCTGCGACCATATAAAGACCCAAATAGTATGCACTTTTTCCAGATAAGAATTGATCAAGCATATTCCAGGCAGTTCGTACAATCAAATGTCAGGCTGTATCATGCAATGTGTCCATTCCACGGCACATTCTCCAACATAATGGAGAGCCCTCTCTCACTCATGCACAAAGCAAATGGCAACCAAAATTAAGACGGTTCATATGAACATCAATAGTGGAAGCACAATTGAAAACTTCTCAAGATGTAAATTCTCCATACCCAAAACAACGCATTCTCCTTACCCATCTATCTGCTCCTGCCTCTGTCTTCTCGACAAAGTACCCGGTGATGGGGCTCCCACCGTCAGAGTGAGGGCGCCCCCACATGAGGGTCACAAAGTCCTTGCCCACCTGGCTGACGTCAGGCTCACCAGGCTTACTAGGTGGGTCAAAGGGGCTCTTGGCCACCACAGCCGACTCACCACTCAGCGGCCGGCCCAGGCCAATGTCGTTCTCAGCCGAAACTCGCAACTCGTAGGCCACACCTGTCTGCAGGCCCTGCACCAGGAAGTTGGTCTCCCGCACAAAGCTCCCAACTGCAGAGGTTGCAATATGGAAGCCATGTTCAAATTACTTGGCTCAGAGCTGGAAATAATGTATTCTTCGATGAAAGCCACTGGCCAGAAGCCACAGCCATTTTTAGACTTGTTATTGCCAAGTGTGGCCAGATAGTTCATACAAAGCCAAATTTTGCCCATTTTTTTCATTTTTCATCGTTGTTTGTGGGCAATTTTTGCAAAGACTTTTGGCAAATACTAACTAGCATATTTGCACTTTCAGGATAATTCTTCTGAAAACCAGCACAACTTATGTTTAATCCTTAAAACCTTTGGTCATCAAAGCTTCACTTGGCACTCAATATGCAGAGAAATTTCATGAACTTCCCCATTATAAAAGGAATTGGTCAGTTGTCATTGAATCTGGAATAACTGAAAAACCGTCCCTTTCTTGTAACAAATCAAACCAAAATCCCTTAGCTGGAAACAAGTCTTCAAGAAACTGAGGCAATTTGAGCCATCAGACAAGAACACTTCAATCCACTGCTGTAGCCAAGTACTTCTAAACTATATTTCACTAGTTATAACAAGTACTTTCTTTGTACACAGTGGCTAAATAATAACATAGAAATACCTTTGTTATAGCTCATGAGTAAGCAGCCTGTGGCTATCTATGCACAGACTAAGGAACTTTCAATATACTTGCGAAGTACCAGTACCTTGCTAAATACTCGACTGTATCATTCATGGGTTATTCCAGAAATTAAGGGGCCGTTTTTTTCCCTATCACATCTGACATATGATTTTGTAAGTTCAAAACACATTTTCTAATTCCAAGAGTGATGAATTAATGGAACTTACCTGCCAAACAAATAGTGATAGCTTGAAATCAATTCCAGTGATATTTCCAGGTCAGATAACAAAGGTCAGATGCAACAAAACACAAAAATGTCAGTTTTGGGCCCTTAATTTCTGGAATGACCCTCATACATACCTGTCATCCAGTCTTTTGTCCCCTCCTCCTTTTTCTCCACATAGTAGGACTTGATGGGCAGGCCTCCATTGTGGGCAGGTGGCTTCCAGGAGATGTAAATGGAGTGGTTGGTTACCTCACCGACGTCCAACGGACCTCGAGGTGGCCCGGGAACATCTGGAGGCAAACAGCCAACAACAAAAAAAAAACATATGAGGAAGGAGAAATTGGTGCCCACATGTCAGGACCAGTTTCCACAGAAATGCTAAGTTGAGGAAAGGAAATATGTGCTAAGCATAAACAAGCTACGGGTCAAAGTGCCATGTGAAGCGCACTGCTTAAGACTGGTTCTCCACTCATTTTTGCTTCAAACAAAAACCAAGCCCCGAAAAAAATTTAAAAAGTTACAGAATAAAACCATATCAATGGAACAGCTACCATTCTTTTTCAGTCAGGTATTGGATATCCGGGAAACTAGTCACAGTCCTGGTTAACAGCAGGGGCGAATGGGTCACTGCCAAAAAGAACCTGCAACCAAAACAATGGCAGCACCCACGAGTCAAGGTTGCTTTCTTACCGAGAACCTTGACGTTGAAGCTGGCCGTGTCGCTTCCTGCATCGTTGCCGACTGTGACCTTAAATGAAGCATTGTCCTCTGGTTCAGCTTGCTTCACATTCATGATGACGTAGTCATCAAAGACGGTCATCTTGACACGGTCGTCTGCAAGGACCAAATCAAAAACAAACTAATGTAATTTTCTTGCAGCCTTTTCTGTTTTCTTTGAGTTAACTCAAACAAATTGCCAACAAAACTTCAATTAAAAAACAATTTTTAAAACAGTTCACACTAAAGTCAAGCTCATTTGTCAGGATGAAAAGGCAAAGCAAATTTGAAATCACAGAACTTTAGCAGCAAACTACACTTGCGTGGAAAAGTTTTCCACTATTGCAAATTTGCAACATGAAGCTGATTTCACAGAATCCCGTTCATGTTTGCTTTCATGCTAAAAATGAACCAGTCTTTGCTTCTCTTATTCATAGCCATGAACGCATTTCAAATGCAAAACAACCTGGGCACACAACATACCATCCAACGGCTGCCCGTCCCTCGAGCACCGGGCACTAACGTCCCCTTTGCCGGTGAATGGAATCTTCACCTTGAATGGGTTGCCCACCTCCACTGTGACCTCGCGGGGGACATTGCCCACTGAGGGGGCCACTAAAATGAAGCACAGATGAACACAGCAATCAAACACTGACAAGTCAGTGTGGCAAAACTACCTGTTGAAGTGGTCAATCTTTTCTGAATAGAGAATACTGTAATAACAAAGGATGCATTAATACTACCGCGGCTCATCGGGCCAATAATATTCCTGAAATAATCCGTAGATGGCCAATTCATACACAGAATACAATAAACAGTAAATTCAGTTCACGGTCTACCATCTCAGTAACTGTTTACTCCGAAGCAAAAGAAGTGTTGCGACCTCGCAGGCCGGACTCAAACCTACAATCTGTAGAAATACAATCTGGAGTTGCATACTGCAGAACACCAGGACCTTGACACTTATCATTGAGATCTTCTGGCCAGTGAGTAATACACAAAAGAAAACAAAGAGCAAAGGGACTAACACTGGACAGCAAGTTTGGCCTTGCAGCGCTCCGTGCCCATCTTGTTGCTGGCCTCACAGGTGTACTCGCCAGAGTCTGCATCTTTCAGGTCATTGATGGTCAGTATACAGAGTTGATCACTCTGCCGGGCTGACAAGCGAACTCCTGGCCATAGCTCTTCTCCATTCTTATACCTGGGGAACAAACAGAAAAAAAAACAGTTTTAGCACGTTTCATCTGCCTTTCCTGCAGATGTAAGCAATATTAAAACAAAAATTACCATTTATGGTTTAACTGACGGGGGTTTATCACAAGTCCTCACAAGTCTGAAGCAGTCCTCATTTGTCTATTTCAAGTCCTCATATGTTGATTTCAAGCCCTCAGAAAGCTAACACAAGTCCTACAAGTTCTCACAAGTACTCAAGTTTTCAAAAAACATTACTCGTATTCATATGTCCTGACAAGTCTGTCAAGAACTTATTTTTATCCTATGTTGCTCTAGCTCACCACTTGATGGTAGGCTGTGGGGTACCAGACACTTCACACGTGAACTTGGCCGAGTCACCTTGGCAACCAGTGACGTTCTCCAGCCGTTTGTCAAAGAATGGGGCTGTGCCCTCTGGAAATAAGAAAACCAATCATATTCACAGTGTCAGAAAAGTGGGAGAATTCTAACCACTCAAATCCAATATGGTTTTAAAACATGGACAAATCAAAAAGCCCATATTAGACAAACTGACCAATCATCTATAGCCAATCGCCAATAGGCTACACTCCAACAACTGCATAAACTTCTTGTTTGAAGCACTCACTAACTGAGTCCTTGGGCTTGATGGGCACCTCTGAGTAACTGGGCTCGCTCGTTCCTGCTGCATTCTCAGCAAAGACTCGCGCTTCATACTCCTTCCCCTCTTCCAGTCCATCCAGGGTGAAGTTGGTGTCCTTGACGGGATACCGGTTGGCCTTCTCCCAGTTGGGGGCACCCACCTCGCGTTTCTCAACTGTGTAACCTGAACAAAAGGATCATTGTGGGTTGGAAAACATATGAATTCTCAATACTCTAATAGCAACAATGTTCCCTAGCCCGAAATGCTGGTTAGCATACATGTGTGGTATATGCACAAGTGAAGGTACCAGGCCAACAGTTTCTCTGTGTTTATAAATGCTTCCATCACCTTCCATATTGGTCTGGAACCATGCCTGCTCACAGTGTAAAACCAACCTGTTATGCGGGCTCCTCCATCAGATGCAGGCTTAGCCCAGGTTAGGTCAGCCGTATTGCTGGTCACTTTTTCCACCTGTGGGACTCCGGGTTTGTCTGAGGTAGCTGCAAAAAACAGAAGCAAGAAGCTTCAAATTGTTTTTAAAAATTCATCGAATGTAGATAGAGCAAAACCTAACTAACTAACTTGAGATCTTTAAGCCTCATTTTCAAGTAATAAACCTTAATCATCACTCCTGATTGAGTCAATCCATGGCAACAGCTGCGTGACATGATCCCGCACTGCACTGCACTGCACTCAAGGGCGGATCCTGGGGGCCAATGGTTTTTCTTTCTAATTCTATTTAGTCAAAGTGAAGATATTAACCACTTCCTGCCGGGACTCTGGAATCAGAGACGTATGGTTTATATGCATGGCCGGGGTCTCCGAACTCGGACAAAGGAAACAGGGCCCTCCGAACAAAAGACCAGGCTGCTGGGCATTACCGACATTTTTCACTCTCAAAAGTTGTGAGAATCCAGCCTTCTTTTGAAACCGTATACCAGAGTTTGGGGCATTGAGAGCGAGCGGATTACCACCAGGGACAAAAGCGCTCCACCACCGCAGCGATGAACCACACAGCACTGCCGCACACTATTGTAAAGAGGTCAGCAGTGCACTGAGCCCGGTTTGTGAACAAAAGACAGTTATACAACACCGCACAATCTGGGCTCTGTTTACAAGGCTGCAGGCCTGGCTGAAATACTCGGACGTCAATGAAGGTCACCTGTCAACTTAGAGTAGTGCCTAAAGATTACTTCGTGCGGCTATAAACAACCGTTAAATGAAATGAGGAATTTTCGAAGGATTTTGAAAACGGAAAAAATGATAGTTATGCTGGCTCAGCATCATCAACATTGAAAAATGCATTGACATAAAGTGGTTAAATGCCTTAAATGGAGGGTTTTTTTTTGTATCCATGGACAGAGCCATTTTGCTTAGGAAATTGTTTCTGAGCAGGTGCTTAATTGTGACTGGTGCAACCAGTAAAAGCAAATGTGCAGACATCTGAAGACTTCCTATCTGTGTTTCTCCAAAAAAATATTGTTTACCTATGTCTGATCAACATGTTGGTAAAACGTATTTATAACAGGACTTACAAAATTCAGGGTTTACCTACAAAAAAGAAAGGGAATGAAACAGTTGCTTCAAAGTCTTGCTTGAATCAGTGAACCGCAAAAAAAGCAATTTCTAAACGTTTATGCCAAGTCAGGGGTGACATGTCAGCAACAGTGTATAATGTAACTTACTGTACTGTGGTTTTGGGATGACTGCATTGGACGGGCGGCTAGGGGCACTGAGCCCAGCCGCATTTTTGGCAATCACGCGGAACTGGTACTCCACCGTGTCGCGTAGGTTGCTCAGGGACATCTTGGTGTCCTTCACAAGGAAGTTATTGCACTGCAGGGGACCGGTCATCGGTAGAGTAATACAAATGAGGTCAACGGTCATGGGATCATTAGCCAGTTATCCATTGGACAATGACATGAAATCAGTGAAAATCTTGCAAATTATTGGATAATGAGCCGATTCAGTATTCCAACAGTGCATACCTAAAATAAAGTACATCCAAGGTCAATGGAATGGGCAGGCTAGGTCTGTCCTATCAGTTACACTGTTCCCCAATGACCTTGCCTTTGGAAATACTGAATGGCTCATTTTAAACTCAGCTATCAAAGGTGTCATTGTGGTGACATTCTGAAAAGTGTACATAGCATAGCATGTAAAGAGCAAAATCAGTGTGGCTTATGGTGAGTTTAGTCAAAGCATTGCAATTAAGGATGATTGTACCATGTACTTTATTAAGGGATCTACATATCATAAATGATGAATAGTAAAGTTACAGCAACTCAATCCTCATTTTGACAGAGCGGGTCGGCGTAAAGGTCGGCTCTCACTCAATGCAAAAGGCAAAATTTCTCAAAAAGCGAATCTGTGACATCACGCGAATTTTGCCACGTGAGCGTTCAGCGATGTCAAATTTGCTTTTTGCACCAAGTGGGAATCCGGCCATTCACGGACCTGCTCCCATTCGCTGTCCTCCTCGCGCTTCTCCACATTGTAGCCCAGGATCTTGGCACCGCCATCATTCTCCGGCCTCTCCCAGGACATGCGGATAAAGCCCTTGTCCACCTCGTCAATCACAGGCTTGCCCGGCGAGTCGGGAATGTCTGGATGAGAAAGGGCGAGGGCAAAGAATGGGACACAAGGAGGACAAGAAATGAAACAAAGAGGTTTAGCATTAATAAAATCACAAATAAGCCATTGATGTGGGATATCAGATAAGCTTTCAACTACAACACTGAAATATAGTCATGAAAAACCAGGGTTGAAGGTGACAGTTTATCTGAAACCTTCACACACATTTGAGTATTTGAGTGAAGTCAGACACGGAAAACAGTAAGCGTTCAATAAACTAACTGTCATTACTTTGATTTTGAACCTGTGAAGAAGTTAAGGTTTCATGCTACATTAGGATTAAAAAAAATCATCATCTTTAAATGGCCTCAAAAAGTCACAATATTAAAGATTACCACCACAAGTTGAGTGGAGCTGCATTACTAATGACATTGTACCTTGGTGTGTAATAGCACTTTGCAAAGCAAGGATTGCCGTGGTACTACACCCTTTTTTTGACATACATGGTAACAAGTAAAAACATGAATCTCGTGAATACCATGTGATATGCTCGGAACCAATCAAGAGGTGGCATTTGAGGGTAAGTCATTTTAATTTTTGATATCTGTCGCTCAAAGCATTCAAATGAAATCCAATTACCATATGGGTTCTTGATGTGCACAGCGGTGGAAGTCTCCAGCGGCTCACCAACACCATACTGGTTCTCTGCCCGGATGCGGAAGAAGTATTTTACCCCCTCGTCCAGACTGCCCACACCAAAGTCGGTGGTCCGCACAAAACCAGAAATCTGAGAGGGCACAAGAAAAACCAGAAATCTTTGTGAGACACAAATTAACATCTGCTTTGTAAGTTTCTGTTGGAGCCTAACACGTGTTTCTGTAATGGTCTCGTATCTTGCAGAATAATGGCTGAAGACAATCTGTTAAGTTTAATACTGACCTTTGACCAGCTGGGCCGTCCTTCCTCTTTCTTTTCCACCACATAGTTGGTGATACGGCTTCCTCCGTCGTCCTTCGGTGGGTTCCATGACAGCTTGACTGACTCAGCAGTGACGTCGGACACCTCCAGAGGACCTTCCGGAGGACCCGGCTTATCTACAGGGAGAAAAACAAATATATTGAAAATGCACACATTGGTGGGTTTCGAATCTGGAACCATTTAAAAAATAGTCCAGAGGACCAGGCTCATCAAGTATTGAAAAGTAAAGGACTAACAGAAGAGGAAAAATAGGACCCTGTAAAAACGTGAAAAAAATCATTGAATTATTTTAAGAATAAGGAAGGATAAGCCACTGCTTAACCATTTATGAAACTCTTCAATAGACCAGTTTTATCTCTACATAAAGCAACAAACGTGACCAGATTCCACATAACGAAGCTTAAGGCCACATTTTCAGTGAACTTTGTTTTAGTTCATATCAGAAACAGCCAACTCAGCTCTTTGTGTTGATGTACCACCAGGTTGGTATTCTGATAAAAAAATTGAACTTATTTGGGTGAAATTATTGCAAATTCTAAATGATTTTCATCGTGCAAGATTCTTTCAAAGGTCTTCAACTCAAAAAGAGGCTCTGGTGACTGGCGACATATGTTCTTCGGCTGGGGGAAAAGTATCCACATCTCCACTCACCAACAACAGTGACTCGCAAGTTGCAGGTGTCGGTGCCCTCGTTGTTGCGCAACGTGATTGTGTACCTCCCGCTGTCGTTTCTCTCAGCACGTTTGCACGTGAACAGGGCTTCTGCTGAACTTTCCTGTTGGGGGATGAAATAACGGAACACACCAAGTTAAACAAAAAATTCACCTTTCTTGTTGATACGATTATACAGAAACTGTAGAACAGCCCGAGTAAAAAAGTTTCCTAGGTTATGAAAAGAGGGAAGCGGTGGACTCTCCAACATAGGGGATAACCAGTTCAATTTTGGGGGTACTTTTGTGCCTCGTGGTGCCATCTGGCTCCTATAGCAGGCTTTGAACTACTAAACAAATCAAAAAGAGAAAAGCCAATGGTGTGAAATTTGGCCTGTAAAAAGGAAATGGGCAAAAAATGTATTCTTTTGCTAGGCCTAAACAGAATGGAGAACATAAAACCTGGTGAAATTCCATTCCATTAGGTGACTCAGTTTTAATTAATTGTGTTTTGATTAATTGAGATTTTCTTGGTCGAGTTTCAACTGAAATGGAATTGATTGAGTTTGGTACCTGAATGTCAAACCTATCTCCTTTCGGTATCTCCATCCCGCCTTTGTCTTCCCTGGTCACCATGACTTCAGGGGCTGGTGTGCTCTCAAAGGGAACCTCCACTTTGAACTGCTCTCCAGCGACAGCAGTGATGTCCTTGTTGCGACAGTCACTGCGCACCTTGGGCTTCACTGTCAACATGAAACAGCATAACAAATTGAGCTCACACCAACCGGCCATTTCAAGCGGCAACGAAGAGTGCCTTACAGAGAGCGGCGTGCTGTGCGATACTTTACATTTACACACAAAGCAGAAACTGCTTTAGCACCCTTTAGCAACAGCACCCTACAGGAAGAATCGGGGTCTGACAAGAAAGCACTCGGCCATGCCAGTCAGTCCGTGCTGTTATACCTAACGAAGTCACTGATTGGCCAGATCATGCTGTAGTTACATTGAAAAATCACTCAGATTTCTAAATACTGTGGTTCACCTCCCTATCATGCAATTTCCTGCTGTCAGTGTACAAAATAAATCATAGGAAACCACTGTATTCAACAGTTTTGTCACAGAATATCCTTTACCACTTCCTGTGCAAATTAGTCCTACAGAGTGCCAGTATCTGTCATTTTCCTTAAGTTTCTGGATCTTCTTTGATCCGTCAGAGAAACAACCAAAGAGACAGTGAATATGGCTGCAACTGTGCATGATATGGAATGCCACATACACTGATCTCTCTGATCCACAGTTCATTAGTGTTAGTTTCAAAATCTGGGTGCAAAATGAGTCTACACAAATTATAACAATTATCCAAAAAGAGACAAACTTAAAAATGCTGATTTTAGAATGCTATTAATATGACAAAACATTGTGACATTGGCCAATGCTAATTTCTTCTGTATTAAAACGGCATCAAAACGCTGGTCAGAGAACCAATGTGGGTATTTCACAACAGTGCGCCTCCAAGAGTTTGCATTTGGCCAATCACAATGCACAAAATCTGTCGACCCTTTCCAAATGGGTTGGGTTGACAGATTTCGCCCATTGCGATTGGCCAACGTGAGATCTGAAAGAAACGAAACTAGAAATATATTCTTAGCAAATAAAACAGCTTACCAACAAAAGTGCATTCATCAAAACTGGTTTCCACTAATTTTTATTTGAGCAAGATTTTTGCTCAAAAGAAATTTGATTCTAGTGGTTTTTGACCTAAGAAGGAAAAGTTTGACCCACCTGAAGGGGGTGCAGCAACAATCCCTTCACTGGCGTCGCTGGGCTTCCCAGGCCCCGCAGCATTCTGGGCCATTACGCGGAACTCGTACTCCGTCCCTTCCGTCAGCTTGGGCACCGAGCAGCTGGTGTCCTTGACTGGTGCCCGGGTGGCCGGAGACCAGTTCGGGGAGCCCGCCTCCCGCTTCTCAACGAGGTAGCTTAGCACAGGGCTGCCGCCATTGTTGGCAGGTGGTTTCCAGGCAAGGCTGATGGAATTGCGGTCAGTCTTGGTGGCATGAGGCGGCTCGGGAGCCCCTGGGGTATCTGCCCAAAAAAATGCCCCATAAGATTGTTAAAATGACACTTTTTGGTGACTATGGCTAAAGTTTTTGTTATCTATATTTATGTAATAAGTTGGCAAAGCATCACACAAAGTTGTGCAATTCACATATATGGAACTTTGTTAATTTACATACCAAACACCTATTATATACTTATAATAATTGGCTCCTTCAGTATAAGCCTTAATGCCAATTTAATGGTAAACCTGTTTTAGTTTGCACCAGAAAGAGACAGTCTTGTTTTGAGGTGTCACACACTTTGGCATTGTGGTTAAAATGGACATTGTGTGGCAGAAAAGTTGTGAAGGTTCCTATTCATTTAACATGGTTCAAGATTCTTTTTCAAGGTCTTACAAATCTGACAAAAGATGGCGTGCTTTTTACATAGCAAAGACAACCGGGTTTAGGCGCATTTGGTGCTGCCGTGCACAGGCTTATGGGCATTTGGAATGAAACACTCTGAGTGCATGCAACCAATTTGTGTTGGAATGTACGGTCTCCTCTACGTACTCTGCACCCAGAGCCTAGATGAAAGGGTTCCCACCAGCCTGTCCCCCCAGCCTGCCAGTAAAGACAGACACTGCTTCAAATAACTCTCCAAAATTCGTATTTGTGGCATTTGGTGCCATTTCAGAGGTGGGCCAACATACCTTGCCTTTTTATTTTTTTAAAAGTTACTGCATTTGGCCAAAAATAATACCATCAACGCATGGTGAACGTTAAAGAAATGGGCTCACCAAAGGGATGCTTGGCGATGATCGGCTCGCTGAGCAGTGGCTTGCTGGCCCCGTACTGGTTCTCAGCACTCACCCGGAACTGGTACTCCTTCCCCTCCTGCAGGTTGCGCACTTTGAGGTTGGGCGTCATGCAGAAGCTACTGACCTTGGTCCAGGCCCCTGTGTCAGCGTCCTTCTTCTCCACTACGTAGTTCTCCACGTCCTCAGGCCCCAGCAGTGGGGGTTTCCAGGACAGGCTGGCCGACTCTGGGGTGATGTCTGACACATTGAGAGGACCCTCGGGGGTGGCTGGGGCATCTGGATGACAAAATTGCCCAAAAGATTGAAGAAACTGACAAAAATTGGGCAACTGATGTCTCTTTCGCAAGTTTTGACACCAATTTGTCCAATATTGACAGAAATGCCAAACTTCGACCATGGAAGCTGAAAAATCTGAAGTTGTTTATTATTAAAGTGAGATTCGATTAGTAAAAAGAGCTGCACTAATCGAGTTTCAAAAGTGACAGTTTTTGCACCTTTTGACACCAATTTTCAAATTTGGACATGACCTCACAAAGTGCCCCAATTTTGATGCAGAGCACTGAACATTTTGAAGTTGTTCACCGAGAGAACGTAGGTATGGAATTGCTGATTTGTGCAAAGGGAATGACAATGTCAAGAATTGTTCATTAATTGAAATGAAGTTTGGCACACGCACAGAGCATGGATGTCTCTTAGTTCATGTTAAGTTTAAATAAAAGTTGTCACAGCTTGGCTAATATCTTGGGCCAATTTCTCAGGGCTGCCAAGCACAAAAATGCCCTTGTCACAGAAAAAAAAACAGGTTACAAGACAAAGTCTCACGCACCATGTACATATCTTGCAACTGGTCCCTGCCAATTTGGCTTTAGCTCAAAAATTTGCTAACCAATATTTTCACTCACCAAGGACCACCACCTTGACTTTGCCACTGTCTGTGCCGGCACTGTTCCTCAATGTGACTGTGTAGCGGCCCGCATCGACCCGCTGCGCACTCTCCACGACAAGCGCTGTCACATCATGCGTGGTCTTGATCAGGACACGGCCGTCCTCCTTGACCGGCTGGCTGTTCAGCTCCCAAGTCACCTCAGGCTTGGGGATGCCCGTGTAGGACAGCTTGAGATCAAACTTCTCACCACCTTTGACCTTGACGTCCTTGAGTGTGCTGATGTCAAGAACCGGCCGCTCTGATCAGAATATACCCAAAAAAATGGCCGTCAAATTTTGAGTGAATGCAACATCAGAGAAATTTGATGATGCAAGACATTTACTACAAAACTGTAAACATGACTTTAATCAGGATGACGGGGTGGTACTCTCCTTGCCTTCCTCCATTGCTTCCCAATTTCAAATTTAAGCAAAGCCAACCTGTGGAACAGTTTTTAAAAGTCCCAACCCAATTCCATGGGTTCCCCTGGAAAATTTATCTGTTCTTTTGTCTCCTCCACCTCAGAGTCAGAGGGAGAAGGGTTTTTTTGGTATCTATTAGGGCCACTCTTGTAACATAAAAAAGTACCTACATATACATGTAAATGCCACTTTTGGGCAATCCTGTATAACTTGCACTTAAGGTTTTGCTCTGTGCAAATTTTCAAACCTAATTGAAGATCAAAAACAAAGCTCACTGTTCTGGCTTGTTTCTAAAGTTTACTCAACAATACTTGAATGTCACATACAAAGTAAACACAAGACAAATTGACTGACTTTACTATAGCAAGAACTCCAACATTTTGAAAAGTATCACATACAAAAATATCACCATTTTATTTGCAAATATGAATATCTGCACAATTATTCATAATCTTTAAATGTGACAGACACCTAAAAGAGAAAATTTTAAGCTTAACACTTGCAGTGAAGAGCACACAAACTAACTTTCACGAATCATGAAACAAAATACGTTTCACAAGCTTCATAAGGATAGATTTCATTTGTGGTGGCCTCACCCGGTCGGTCCTCAGCGGTGACAACTGGTGTCGGGATGCTTGGTTTACCGGGAGGGCCCTCCTCGGTATTGGCACGAACTCTGAACTCATAGGGTATACCCTCCTCCAGGTCCGGAACTGTAGCATGCTCCTCTGTTGCTGGAACTTTGACAGCCTGGGACCAAAAAAAGGAAAAAGCCAGGAAGAACTCTTTATAATGAAAAAGTTCCAGTGAGTACAAGGAACAGATTAATTGTTAGACACTGTGTGCCCTACAAAAAATTCAATATTGTTTATTACCATTAAGTTCGAAACATAGCCAAGGTTTGGGTAATAATCTCTGTTAGCTCCAGTTGGTGGATAAGTTATGAACAAGCCATGTGAACATCAATTTGGCTACGGCTGGGAGTAACACAGCAATCTATGGGAAATAGTGGCAGCCTAGCTGCCGAGCGTCTCTTGGTGCTAAAATCAAGTAATTTGGATGCCGCCACAGTGTGGGGTCAACTCCAACTTACGTCCACCCAGTCACCCTTGGGGCCACTCTCGGGCACTTTGCGCTTCTCCACGACGTAGTCTTTGATCTTGGACCCACCATCCGACATGGGCCTGTTCCAGGACACGCCAATGTGGTCCTTGCGGACTTTATCAACTGACGGCCGCCCAGGAGCATCAGCCGGCACTGTCAAGATATAAACCATGGATTAAAGCCTGTCAGAAGGAAACGTTTGAAGCTGGGTCAGATGGGACTTGAACCCGTGACATCTTGCTTAGTAATGCACACATAAAGTCACTGGGGCTGTGAATTCTTAAGGGGTTAACCTGACTGGTCTGAATCAAATACCCCAGCAGGTACCACAAGAAATAATTACTGATGATATCATATACTAATATTACTAACATTCACAGGTCAATGATATTACTCCGTCAAAGATATTATAGTTGCAGTGTCAAAATGTCACTGACTATTTATAGTACCCATATCATGGTTCAAAAGCAGATGTAAAGTTTCGATGCTTACTCTAATGTCTAATATTTTGGTTAATATTGTCATGGCTGGAAAGGAACCATCTATGTTGCAAGTCAGCAGTTTGAGTGCCAAGGCAGTTAAAAACTGGTAAGATTAAAATAACTTCAACTTCTTGAAATTTGCATCAGGAGCACTTGAAGCAATGTCACAAAAAGTGCATTTGCATTCCCACCAATTGGCCTTATTCACAAGTTGGCCATCTTGAACTGACAAGGCGATCCCTCTTAATATTGTCAAAACACTTAATATATATGAAGGAATAAAGATGATGCAATAGGGCTAATTATAGATAACTATCCTTCTGCCCAGATGGGATACAAAGTCATGTCTTCTTTGTTGTCCAAAAGAAAACTGTTTTTTAAAGAGGCTACACCTACACTTTAATAGAGAAAAATAGTCAGGCTCCTTCCCACTTTACTTTGTTGAATAAATCAGTTGGACGAGGAAACATGATACAAAATGGCCAAGTTAGGAATGAAGCTCATTGTGAATCTAAAAGTTGGCCTTGGTGATGGGAAAACATGGGAGACCAGGACTTACAGATGGGCATTTTGGCAACGACAGCGTCGGATGCCCGGCTGGGCTTGCCCGGGCCAGCTTCATTCAGGGCAATGACCCTAAACTGGTACTCCTTCCCTTCGGTCAGGTTGGGCACAATGGCTGAAGTGTCCTTGGTCGGATAGTTGCTGGCTGGTTCCCAGCTGTTGCCGTCTGTGTTGCGGTACTCCACAGCATACCCAGTAACTGGACTGCCTCCGTCATTGTCAGGCGGGGACCAAGAGATCTGGGCCGAATTGCGGTCAACGGCATCAATCTTGGGGATGCTGGGTGCATCAGGCTCATCTAATAATAGGCAGTCAGAATTTGAAAACCATCAGTCACAATTCAGTAAATAATACTGACAGAATTATATTCAATAAGTTCAAATGCAATAATAGGTTATGCAATATAACTCATGAGATATGATATAATACATGTCATTTTACGGGGTAGATAAAAATCAAAACCAAGATATTATTGCTAATTGTAACAGAATAGCGCTCATGTTAATCAAAGGGAGGTATCATCTGTCAGGTTTGACTCTCCTCTTTAAAATGACTCCTTGATCATAGTGATACATTCACGGTTGACTGAGTAGTGACCAATTTTTGAAAGAGTCCATTTAGGGAATTGCGCCACTTCTCATTTGTGGTTTTTGTGGTGTCAATTTGTCACAAGGTGACAGAAAAAGTCAAAGCTGGGTTTAAGCTGGTTCTTTCACACTGATACTGGTGAACATTGTGCCAAGTCATTGCCTTGGCTAGAGGAGGACATTCTGGACAATTTTTAGCAAAAGCACCTCCCAATTTCTCAATGCTCCCGGTCTGCAACCACTTTGAAGCAAGAAAAACGCTTTTGTAATCTCCATTCTCATGTATGCCTGCATGTGTTTTTAGAAATTGCAAGCCTCTCCCCACCCACTTGTTAATGTAGGGAGACAGACTTTTTTTGTATCACCGTACTTGTACAAGTTTATTGTTAATGTTGTCGCTCTTGACATTATTAATTATTCAAAAGGAACAAGGATAACAGCCAAATGCCGTGTTCCTTGCAACTGACGTGATTGATCCTTTGTATTTCTAAAAATGTATGCACGTTTTAGAGTCGATTCTTTACACATGAAAGTTTACACAAAAATTGCTAAAACGCAGCATGGTCTGGAGGGTTTATTGAGAGTTCTGTCGTTTTTCCAAGGTGGAAACATTTTTGTCCTTATTTACATTAGACCATCCTTTTAGAACCCCACGCAGGACGCCATCAGGTAATTTACTTCTGCAAGTTTCAGGCTGCTGCATATCAGGAGCAATATTGTAATTTTACCTATGACAATTTTATGGGTAAAAGTGATGACCAAGGCATGTTGCAGTGTGAGTAGCGTTATATGGCAACGCATTAACAATGTATATTGTGTGTCATGTAGCTGGTGCCACACTCTGCGTGCCCCCGTTCATGCGTGTATTCTATACATAAAATTGCACTGTCTGAAATTGTTGCTTTGGCTTCTTGACATGTGACTCTGCTGTGTGGTCAAGGACCCAATATTAGGTTCTTCACTGGCCTCATAAAACATGTTTGTTAATACATGTCCTAGTTTGGAACTTGTCCTGTTTGAACCTACAATTTGTAGTCTAGTCTAGCTGTGTGCTACCACTGCAACAGACCAGCCACTGAGCTGAAATACAAGGTCATCACCGTGGGTGAGGAACCATACCTGTGTATTCTGAAAATGTCACATATCGTTATTTGTGCCATCACCTAATATGTAAATTGTATTATTTTGTTTGGTTATTTATTTATGAAGGGCATAATTGATCTTTAGTCTTCCTCCTGTGAGTGTATTGAAGGTTTCTTTTTTTTTTTATTCCTTTAATAAAGCAAACAAATGAAGTAGTACATAAGCAGTGTGATGAGTACATTCCTTAAAGGGCCTGATTAGAAATTGGAAGGGTTTGGATCTGGGGCATCCTCCTTGGCGGGTCGCTTCATTCATTTTACTTCTAAGTTCTCGTCCTCCACCTGTTAAATTTACTGCACGTCTCATCTCACCCGCTTATTAACTTCACTGCAAGGTTTCCTCACCCAAATTCATTTGAAAGTATAATGTTATGGTTAAGGCCACTGAATGCCAGGGAAGAAAGTGGCGCAATTCCTTAAAAGGACCCTTTCACAGAGTTGGTCACTGCTCAGTCAACTGTGAACATATCGATATGATCAAGGTGTCATTTTAGAGAAGAGATTCAAACCTAACAGATGATACCTCCCGTTTATTCACATGAGCCCTACTTCAACTATAAGCAATAATATCTCAGTTTCCTTTTTTTTTTAATCCGACCTGTATATCTAATCATGTGGTATATGGGTCATTTCAGTTCACTGTATAGTTTATGTTAACTACCCCTCCTTCATAAGTGAGCCCCTATTTTGTTTGAGGGTATGGACATAACATGTGGTTTCCATACACAAATAGTCACGTTACGTCCAAAACAGGAGTTCGTTTTTTGAACCTTGAAAATAATTGCTAACTACATCACTACCGTTTGAAAACTACAACCCAGATGTCCTTTTTCTCAACTCGGCGTTCACTGCTGTATTTTAGTTCTATAGAAATAATTTGTTCTTGCCAGAATGCTGAGCGTGGTTTCTGCAACCATTCTGTTGCGTCCACAACCCTTGGTGTTCTGTTAAGCGGAAGTGTGCGCCCCTCATTGGAAATGGATTCTTCCATGCTTCAACAGCTCTTGCTTATGTATATGTATGTCACGTATGTTACGTATATTGCTTACTCTTGTTATGTATGCAACGCAGTCACGTCCACCCTAAGTTTGTTGGAAGTAAATTCAGCCATTAGAGACCGGTATCATTGATTTCAAAGTACAAGATCGTAGACAGAATGAATCCTTAAAATTTATGAGACGTGTAGTGTGCTCATGCTCGGTAAATTTTTATTATTGACAATTTACATTTAATCGGAAAAGACTCTGACGGTTCCTATCTTGTTATTGCAATGACCGTTACCATCATGTAATAATAGGGGTGGTACAGCAATCCCCTTGGAGGAGTCATACCTTAAACTCATACATAAACAGGTTTTGAGCACATTTTCAAACCAAAAATGTTTATCAGTTATGGTTAAGCAATCACTCCAGTTTGCATAACTTCCACGATGGTATCATTATCTAAACATAAAAACAGGAATATTTGGTACATGCCTAAGTATTCCCGAATCCCCCCCAGTCAAAAATGGCATAGCCTTGTTGCTGATGCACCTAGTTCCACAAATCCCTCCAGGATTAACAATTAGCGATTCTGCGCTGTGAGGAACTGTGCTAGTGTACACAATGTATTGCAGTGTTTTCGGTGAAATCCGACATGATATTTTCAGTACATTTTTTAATATAATCAGGGATAAACGAGGCAAAGATCAACACAAATATTGCCATCTATGCGGCTGTAAATGGCCACAAAGATGGCACTTCGTTTGAACCCAACCGTGCCGACGGAACACAGGAAAATGCTCAGCTCAACCACAAAGTGCCTGGTCCGGAAAATTGTCCCAGGATGAATACATGCACCTAGCCTGACATTCATTCTTGTGGTATATTACCTTCTTTGTTTTATTTTTGTTGGGATACATGTACTTGCCAATATTTAGAACATAACAAATGAATCATTATAACATTACTACTTGGAGAAATCTTTGCTGAAACTGTGTGGTTTCCGTATTACATCCACAACCCGCAGCATGATACGTAACACCTGAATATTTCCTTTTCCGCCAACATGTAAGTTACTGCAAAGTATTACCAGTTATGAGGAACAGTTGATAATGTGTCAAAACTTGGGGGAAAAATGACACACAAGTGAATTTGAAATCTCAGCTCCTTTGTCACACTACCCAACTTCATGGAATGACCACTAATCACAATCATTGTTATGATGGATTGCAATGCTTTAAAAACATTAACTCCAAAGGTTTTACAAACTGAAGCTGTGTCCAAAAGTTGTGGCTGTGGCTGAATATTATATGGGCCCTATGGAAGCCACAGGCTAGCTGCTGCAGTCATTACTCCATAGATGCTTATGTTACTTCTAGCCATAGGCTGGTGGGACCTAGCCCACAGACTTACCAAACGGCAACTTGGCCTTGACCTGCCGGCCCTCCAATGGCTCGCTAACGCCGTACTGGTTAGCTGCCGAGACCCGGAACACGTAGTCGTTATGTGTGTGCAGGTTGCGGGCGGTGTAGCCCACAATGGATGCAGAGCTGGTCAGCTTTGTCCAGTTGTCGCGGTTGGCATCGCGCTGCTCCACCACATAGCCTGTGATGGCGCTGTTGCCATCCTCTTCTGGCGGCTGCCAGGTCAGCTTGAGGGAGTCTTTCGTGAAGTCCGAGTACTCTAGAGGGGCTTTGGGTGCCGTGGGAGGGCCTATAAGCAGAGGGGATGGGAAACAGACATCAACTGGCAAGGCCAACGGACATCTACTGTAAAGGCCAGTTTATGTACTAGTGTTGTTGTAAAGTACAGAAATGGGAGACATTAACTGACACTGCCAACTGACGTTGTATGTTCATATCAGTATTGTGTACTAGTACTTTTCAACTGCTTCACAAATCTTCACAAGTACTTCATTAGTTCTTAACAAGTACTGTACACTTATTTGTAAGTTCTCACAATTGCTCCACAAGTCCTCATTAAAACGTTACAAGAACACTGTACATAAAAGCTTGTTTATACAACAGGCGAATGTGAAAGCAAAGCAAAGTTGACATCACAAAAGATTAGCAGCAAAAATCTGTTGAAATGTGTTCAATTTTTGCAAATTCGCAGCACGAATATATGATCTGATGTCACAAGTTCCCATTCTGTTCACTTTCGCAGCAAGTACCGGTATGAACCGGCCTTAAGTCTTAATAGAAGTTTTTAAATGCTGTTAATAGGCATAAGCAGTTTTACAGAAGTGTGAGTACTTCAGCAATACTTCTTAAGTTCTCACAACTGCTTCACAAGTACTACTAAGTCCTCACAAGGGGATCAGAAGTACTCATGTTTCAATACAAGCTGCACGTTACTCATGCATAAGCTACAATAACAAGACTTGCTGGTACATATCCCTTGTGACAAAAACCAAAAAGAACTTGTAAAATACTTATGCTAAACTTCAACATTGTTACACACTCCACTTGAGTGAGGCTTGTTTTCATGTAAAATAGCCGCAAATTCTTTATTAAACATGTTAAATGGGATAATGGTCAGCATAGGATGCTAGCTCATACTTTTTGCCATTAATAAAGCTTTGTAGACTTGACTGTTGTCACTGTGCTGGATGTTTGTTGCATCATGTGAGTCAGTGGGAGAACCCTGTTCATGATACCAGTGTTGTTGATTCGAGTTTCTAACTTGGACTCAAGTCAGACTCAAGTCACTATTGTCTTGACTTGAGACTTGACTTGACAAAAAATGACTTGGGACTTGACTTGACAAAAAATGACTTGAGACTTGACTTGACAAAAAATGACTTGGGACTTGACTTGACAAAAAATGACTTGGGACTTGACTTGACAAAAAATGACTTGGGACTTGACTTGAAAGAATATGACTTGTGACTTGACTAAATCTGACTTTGTGACAAATGTTTGCTACAAATTTATACAAGCTTTTGAGTGTCCACACACAATCGGTTTGGAAACACAAGGCGATCTCAAGGCATGTATATTTATAGACGTTGCATTATTCGTTGTTCAGAACAGCAATTATACCAAAGTTCCACTTCCGGTTCCTGACTGACCCTAATTTTTTGACGTGACCCTTAAATTTATATCAGCAAGGTAGAGAAACTAATTTCCCAAAACTTTACTAACTTAAAGAAAAAACTGTTGTTTCTCTTGTCTCTACAAGATACCCCTCAACAACCTTTACCCAAGCCAAAGGACCTGCATTTAAATGTTTACCTACTTACATTCCCACATTTGGAAAAGAGACTTTCATTATTTTCACAAGTTCCCTTAGCATTTTGCTACATGGCGGTGGTGAAAACATGTGGGCAATAATGCTCAATGCACTGAAGCAATACTACACTGGTTCCTGCCATGCCATTGCCAAAGAAGGCATGATGAAAATGTGGCAACCAGTCTATGCATCTTGGTCAACAGCGCACTGCACAAAACATACACGCACACAACTTTACAGCAGCTAGTAAAAAAAAATCAATGTAGCATGAAAATTTTTGCAAGTAAATTCACAGCATTTGATGTTTTGTCTATGTACAAGTATGTATTTCTGTATGTTTGCGAGCATGTTTCCAAAAATTTCCTGCCGCAGCATGAGCTTTATCGCCCACCCCTCAAGATGCATTACACACACGTACCATGCGAGACACGGACATTTATCAGTTTTTCGTTGTGATTACCTGACGAGCATTGTACATAGTGGTGAGAATTGTCCATTATTCTTAAGACTTTTAGACTTCGGATATTTTGCACTGATTAAGGCAAGTTTTTTATCACGTTATACGGTGAGTTTTAATAGCTTTGGTGGTGAAAAATGGAAAAAGTCCAGGCTGAGATTTGCATATACCGCAACATGTACGGTAATTGATTACCCCATTCAATCAGCAAAAAAAATCTGACCTATCAACCCTGCTTTTCAGAGCCATTTAATTGGAAGCAGAATGACCGTTTTCCTTTTGGCCTTATTCTTTATTTTCCAGACACGTATATTATCTAAAAGCATAACGGAAGAAACCTCTTTAAACAGGTAGAAAAGAACAACTACCCCAACAAGTAATCAATAGTTGACTTTGAAAAATTTGACTTGAAAAAATTGACTTGTGACTTGACTCAACTTGGTAAAATTTAACTTGAGACTTGACTTGACCTTGGGAAAAAATGACTTGCTTACAACACTGCACGATACTGAAATCTCACTTTCGGAGGGAGTTTCATTATGCAGGTTCAAAGTTTACAAGAACTTAAAAATCTGCTGGAAAGAGGACTCACAGAGTACAGTGACTTTGAGAGAGGCCGAGTCGGTTCCCGAGCTGTTCTCCAGGGTGACCTTGTAGGTGCCTGTGTCGCCCCGCTCGGCTGACTTGTTGTTCAGTGTGCAGGTGGTCTCATTGGTGTCCACCGCCACCCGGTCAGTCAGCTTGATCTCACGGTTGTCTTTGTACCAGACTGCCTCGGGGGCGGGGCTGGCCACAAAGGGTACCTTGATGGCAAAGGGCTCACCTTGCCTCACCTTGAGGTCACGCAGGCTCAGGGCATTGGAGTCAATTCGTGGCTTTTCTGTTTTTTAGGAAAAGAAAGGAAATGTTCCATTCTGAAACTAATTTGTATAGTGGGACAATTTACTTGGTTGAGGGGTACTGAAAAGAGCAATCACAAGACCAACACAAAAGACCTCCAGTTGGAACTCAAGCTATGAGCTACAGCCCTTTTTCACCCACGTGACTGGATTGCGCTAAAATGTAAACAATACCACCACGCGTGGACTGCCTTGGCCATGGTGATCGCATATATTTCTACGGGCAGCTTCAACCACGTACAAGCACACGTGTGAACGTTGCATGCTTGACTAGTTTATCTTGAATAAGTAGATTACCATCACAACACTATGCACTCATACATCACAACACACTGCGGTCCAGCACGATAGTGACATCACAGGAAAAAGGTCTATTCAAATGAACTGCAACAACAGCTTTCCTTTGTCATTGTTCATTCTGTTACTTGAGTATGGTCCATGATGGTCTCTACAACAATGTACACAATGCAATGCCTGCAGCTGGATTTGAACCTCTGTCTGATCGTGAGTTACAAACCTACTACATGTAAGTCAAACTCCCCTTAAAGCTACACAAAATGTCTCCTCAATAACTTATTAAAATTGGGAATTCTTGAATTTTTTCGAAAATTTTGAGCATGAATCAAGACTTAAGATAAAATGTTCCGAATACCAAGCTATACATATCAAATTAATGTACTTAATTCACACACACATCTCTGCACAAACATTTTGAACACCAAATTGTTGTATATTAAATCCATGTCAAAATTTCAGTTAAACTCTATTGTTAGCTCTAACAGTGTCAAATCTTACAAAATAATAAATGATTTACACTAATCTTCAAGGAATGGGATACAAGTTTACATGCCTTAATACCAATATCAGCTTTACTGTCATGATATCAGACCCTTGTAGTGTTGAGCTGCAATTTTCACAAACTAGTCTCAAAACTCAATGCCACATAAACTTGTTACATAAAGCCCACTTAAACATTAACACTGCAACACTTACCAAATTCAGGCTTTGCCGTCATGATGTCCGACTCAGGGCTGGGCTGGCCAGGGCCAGCCCGGTTCTCGGCGATGACCCGGAAGTGGTACTGCCGTCCCTCCATCAGGCCAGGGACGGTGAACTTCGTGCCCAGGACCGGTGCCTTGTTGACGCGGGACCAGCGGTTGGACTTGGGGTCCTTCTTTTCAATGATGTAGCCAGTGATGGCGTCACCACCATCCGACTTGGGCTCGGCCCACTGGAGGTCGGCACAGTCACGGTCGTAGCTGACAATCTTGGGTTTGCCAGGAGCATCTGGTTCATCTACAAATAGAATGAAGGATCAAGAAATCATTCAGGGATGTGAGTGGAACATAAAAAAATAGCTGAAAATAGCTTAAATCGTGAGTGCGAAGCATATAGGGGGTTTGGGGCTCACTTAAGGGCCCCAGGAAAATTTTGAAATGTAGATGCTCTGTGGTACGCTTTACAGCTTCCTGGTGCAACTGTTGGCCATATTGTCTTGCAATTTAGGCTGTGCGTATTTTAATTTTAGATGTTCTTCATCATGTTCATATTTGGCTGAAATTCCTGAAGGTTAAAATGAACTAGTAATAGGTATACCAAAATTGTAAATAGAGGGAGTTGGCCCTTTTCCCACCTCATCTAACCACATTTTCAAAATGTTCATTCTTTAAAGAATGCACACCAAATGTCCAAGCTTTCAGATTTTCCAATCCGCGCGCAGATTGTGTCGCATGCCCGTCTAAAGTTACGGTGTATTCCATTCACATCCATTCCGCAGATTTGTAACTTGAGGATCGGTCTTGTCAAAGACTGTATCCAAGTCAGAACCTCTTTGGAAAGTGTGCATCCAGGTTGCACTGACATTTAAATAAGTTTATGTCCAAAAATTGTTTGAAAGTCCATACAAAATGATGCAAAACTGTGCGATAATGCATGACACAAGAACTTGTTGAAAATTTACTAACATTATTTCAAGCCACAAATTTACAGTGAAATGTGTGCTACCACAAGTTATAGTGGAGATTGTTTGTTACTACTTCTGCTCATGCTGGAATGGCTGTAATGAGTCCAACTGACACATATATGAAAATTGATATTTCATTAGCAGCCAATCACAGCAGAATGAACGTATGGTCCAAGGATGCAGTTTATTCACAAGGCTTGCGCCGCACCAAATCATGTCCACACACACTCGAACAACACGCAAGTCCATGTACATTTTACATACAGTGTTAAGCTTGGCCATTGCATCAAGTCAGTTTTAAAAAATGGAAAAACAGCGCTTGCGCAAGGAAGAAAAACAAGGAAAATCTGGCCCATTGATGGCCAAAGAGTGGAAAATGAAATTAGGTATATTCAACAAAAAAGCGGAAATCAGCTGAAAAGCGGAGATTTCACACCCCAGCCTTTTTTGAGATTTGCAACACATCCTGTCAAGACCAGCTGCTTCTGGGCAGAACTTGAAATGGAAACATGACCAAAACTATCACACTTCCTTTGTCATCACAAGTGCAAAATTGGTATAATTTTGACACAAAGCCTACTTTTAAAATTCAAATTATCACCTACTTTCAAAACATTACAAGACATAACTGGTTTTGCAGGAAATGTTACATACTGAACTAATGTTCAATTTTATTAAACCCTTCATATCAAAGTAAACCCCTTAACGATTGCTATTACCATCTTGCAAGGTCAGCAAATTTCAAGAAAATGTCTCCACTGCTGACATTTTTCATCACAGAAGTCCAATGGCATATTTTCTGATCCCATTCTCCAAATGTAAAGCAGGGGCGTGAGTGGCCGTTTAAAAAAAAATTAAAGCTGAAAACAGTTAACAAAAGCTGAAATGTAGAAAGTTGCCATACTTTTGTACAGACCAGGTATACCAAAAAAAATGAAATTCGGGGAAAACAAAAATCTCACATCAGCTAAAAGCTGAATTCTCACACCTCTCTTGAATTGGTGATACAATTTTTGACATTTTTGACAACTGTGACATTATTAACAATTATGACATTTTGACAGGCCATACTGCAGCCTTTTTCCCAAGAAGTGGAAGTGCATTTGGGATTTGCACCTGAAGCGACATCTCACCATATGGGTTCTTGGCCACAACAGGTGCTGACTCCAATGGAGCGCTCACCCCACCGTGGGCGTTCTCTGCTGACACGCGGAACACATACTCCTTCCCACGCAGCAGCTTAGTGGCGGTGTAGTTGGGGAAATTGACAAATCCGCCACACTTGCTCCAGTAATCGTCATCTGACTCCCGCTTCTCCACCACGTAGTTGGCTATTTCGCTGCCGCCATCGTCTGCTGGCGGGTTCCAGGCCAACTTGCAGGATTCATTGGTGATGTCAGTGATGTCAAACGGCGGCTGCGGTGGCGAAGGCTTGTCTACAAAAACCAAGTTTTAGGGGAAAACACCATGAAGTTGCTTAGCACAGAGAAATCTCACTGGGGAAAAACAGATCACCAGGCGAACTGTCATGCATGCAACTGGTCCCCAGCTAATGTCCAGTTGGCACACAAATTTGATGAGCAATATTCTCTGCAATAAGTCCCTCCACAAGGCTGGGCTGCAGTTAGCAATCCTTAGAAAAATCAACGATGTGCAAACTGACAGCCAAGCCAAGAAAAGTTTCATACTGAGTGTCACATAGTTAGAATTTCGTATTTCAAAGCTACCTAGGACGATAACGTTGCATTTGGCATTGAGTGTTCCTGAGTCGTTGGCCAGCGTCAACTCATATTCGCCGGTGTCATCTCGCTGCGATTCTTTGACCCTGAGTGTCGTCAGCTCGTCAGTGTTCTCAATCTGAACCTGCTCAGATGGCTCCAACGCACTGTCATTCTTCTTCCAGCTGACGGTAGGAGGTGGGCTACCGTCAAAGGGCACTTGGAGTTTGAGCTCCTGGCCAGCCCGCAATTTGATGTCCTTGAGGCGGTCGATGCGCAGAACAGGTTTGGCTTAAGGAAAAGAGCAAACAATTTCACAAGCAAAAAGAACTGTGCAAAACCTTTCAACCTTCTTGATTTAAATTCTTGACCATAATTGGGTAATGCCTCAACTCCTACCACACTGTCGTCGATGTCGCTAGAGGATGAATGGTAGAAAAGGAATGACTTTGCCAGCAGCTCATTTTAAAAGCTTACTGACTTGAGAGTAGACGACTCGTGATGGAGTGTAACAAAACTGTGTGGGAGTAGTGAGGACTAGTAATTAACTTGTGAGGATGTGTGAAAGGCCTGAGGGGAGTAATAACGGACTTGAGATAAAACTGTGTAATAGATCATGGGGACTCATTATGGACCAGTATGGACCCGTGCTGAGATTATGAGAACCTGTAATGAGGGTCTGAGGACTTATGATAGACTTGCAAGGACAGGTAATAACAGCTTGTGTTTTTTTTTTAAATGACAGCTTTAGTGCCATGCCCATAAGTTCTGAGGTTTCCCATTAATGTACTAGACCTCAATGTAAACTGAGGAATTGTGAATTTCGTGGATACGTCTTCCTTATTACAGGCCATAAATTGATACTCACAGAATTTGGCCTTGACCAGCTTGGGCTGTGACACCTGGCTGGGTTTGCCCTTGCCAGCCTTGTTGACGGCTGCCACACGGAATTCATAGGTGCGCCCCTCAATCAGATTGGGTACCTATGGAAAGCAGAAGGTCCATAAACTTTCATCAAGTTCAAAAGGCGGAGGTATTTTCTAATTGCCCAGAATTTTGCGTACCAACTTCAAAAGTATCAAGGATGTAGAGATGCATGTAAGGAACTCTTTCTTACAGTTTAGAAAGAGGGCATGTATCATTTGATTCAATTCATTACAACCAGAACTGTTCAAACTCTATTCATGGGATGAGTGTTCAGGAGAGTGTTTATTTCAAATGAGATAGGAGACCTATTGCAGCACTTTCCATCATCTAACAACTATTTAAAAAGGATCTTATTTCACAGATTGCTGGATCAACCACTCCATGCCGGGGCATTTTTCAATGTTGATGATGCTGGGCCGGCATAATTATCATTTTTTTCGTTTTCAAAATTCTTCAAAAATTCATCATTTCATTTAACGGACGTGTATAGCCGCACGAAGTAATCTTTAGGCACTAC